ACGCAGTGGATGTGGCAGGCTTGATGCCGATTAGACGCCATAGTTCTCGGGTGAAGTCCGCGATGAACTGCGAGCCGCGGTCGGAGACGCATATTTCCCGGAGTCCCATGGTGCCGCCAGACGTCCGGTAGTAGAGGCGAGCTGCTCCTACTGCGTCGACCGTGGTGTGGCACTCCGAGAAGTGGGCTCGCTTTCCGAGGGTGTCGACGACGACCATGATCGCGTCGTACCCATGGGCCTCCGGAAGCTCGACGATGAAGTCGACGGAGACGGTGTGCCAACGCTCTGGGGGTGTTTCCGTCGGGTGCAGCTCTCCGTGGGGAAGTCTCCGGAGTGCCTTGGTGCGACAGCACAAGTCACAGGTCGCGACATACCGGCCGATATGGCGAGACATCTGGGGCCACCAGTAGTTCCGGGAGACCAACTCCAAGGTCTTGAAGCGACCTGCGTGTCCGGCGACTCGAGTGTCATGGCAGAGCTCGATGATGCGTCTCCGGAGGTCCTTGTCCTTTGGTACGACGATCTTTCCTCGGAAATGGAGAAGACCGCCGGAGACGGCCCACTCGTCAGAACGTGAGGAGCGGGGGCCTCGAGCTTGACCTTGAACCTTAAGAAGTTGCCGGGCCGCTAGTGCGACGGGCTCCTCCAGGTCAGGCTCACCGGAGAGGGCATCACGGATGTCGCGGAGGAGTTCAGAGCCGGGACCGGAAACGGAAACGCCTCGAGTGCGCGGACGTGGAAGAGTTCAGGCCGCAGAAGGACGACATCGGAGTTGTCGGAATCGACTCCGTGGTCGGGTCTCCGGGAGAGGGCGTCAGGCCGACCCATATCGCGGCCAGGCTTGTGGTGCAGCGTGAAGTCGAACCGGGAGAGGTACAGAGACCACCGGGCCTGTCTCCGGTTGAGGTGCTGCGTCTTCCTGAAGTACTCCAAATTCTTATGGTCAGTCCAAATCTCGACAGGGTGCGCGGCGCCCTCGAGGAAGTGTCTATACTCCTCGAGTGCACGGATGATCGCGAGCATCTCCTTGTCGTGGATTTCGTAGTTGCGCTGGACATCATTTAAGCTTTTGGAATAGAATGCTACAGGGTGCCACTTCCCGTCCGGGGCGGATTGTGAAAGAAGCACCCCCCGTCGCATAATCAGAGCTGTCCGCCTCGAGTCGGAAAGGCCGTGCGTCGTCCGGAATCGCCAGGACCGGTCCGAGGTGACCGCGTCCTTGATCGCTTGGAACGCGGAGGCCTCCGCGTCGCCCCAAGTCCATTGCTGGTCCTTCTTGGTGAGCACGAAAAGAGGGCGCGCAAGGGTCGAGAAGTCCCGAATGAACCTGCGGTAGAAGTTAGCGAACCCAAGGAACTGCTGAATGTCCTTCTTGTTTTCCGGAGTCGGCCAAGCGGAGACGCCTGCGACCTTGACGGGGTCCATTTCGACGTGGTTGTGGGAGATGATGACTCCGAGGTACTCGATCGACGATTTTTCAAAGTCGCACTTCTCCGCTCGAAGGTACAACTTGTGCTCCCGGAGTCGCCGTAAGACCTCCTGGACAATCTGCCGGTGTTTCCGGAGGTCGGAATGGGCGATCAGGATGTCGTCAAGGTAGATCATGACGTCTCCGGAGAGGATGAGATCCTGGAAAATGTCATTTCATCATCGTTTGGAACGTCGCGGGAGAGTTTGTCAGGCCGAAATACATCACCAAGGGCTCGAACAGGCCTCGGTTAGTCCGGAAAGCCGCTTTCCACTCGTCACCTTCCTTGATCCGGACGTTGTTGAAGCCCCAACGGACGCCGAGTTTGGTGAAGTAACGAGCGCCTTTGAGCCGGTTGATGAGGTCGTTGATCAGCGGAAGGGGGTACCGGTTTTTGACAGTCATCGCGTTGAGAGCACGGTAGTCCTGGACGAAGCGGAGTCCTCCGTCCTTCTTCTTGACGAAGAAGACCGGAGACGCCATCGGAGACTTGGAGGGGCGAATCCGGCCCGTCGAAAGCCCTTCCTCGATGAACGCGTCGAGCTCGCGTTGCTCGAGGGGCGAGATGGGGTACACCTTGCAGTTGGTGGGCTTAGCGTCGGGGACGAGTTCAATGGCGTGGTCCCAGGCTCTCCGCCCGGTAGCGTGTCGAAGGACTCCTTGTTGAAGACGTCCTGGAACTCCTTAGCCCAGTCCGGGATCTCGGAGGGCGGAGGGGCGGAGTTCCTGGCGAAGGCTTCGGCCAGGCGTTGCGAGACAGTACTGCCAGCGCGTATCTCCTCCGAGGGGCGGAACGAGGTGTAGAAGATGCGGTCACCATCTTCAAGCTGACCATCGTCATCGTCGTCGCCGGAGTCCGGCGTCAGATCAGGCAGGCCGGAGTCGTCACCGGAGACGGAATCGTCTCCGTCATCAGACCCAGAAAGGTCCATGGCGCAGACCGAGGGGAACGGGCCGGAGCGGAGACGCTTCTGAAGCGACCGGAGTCGCCGCAACTCGGTCCGTTCAACGCGTTCTTCCTCGCGGCAGGTGGAGCAACCACGGGGGCACCGTGTCATCTTGACCTCCTTGGTTTCCCAATCGATCTCTGGGTTGTGCTTCCGCAGCCAGGAGTACCCCAGGATGAGGTCTTGTTTACCAAGATGAGTGACGGCGAGTTGAACACGCTCGGAATGGCCTTTGTAGCGTAGGACCAAGTCCGCGATCTGGTTGATAGAGCCGGCATCATTTGGAGTGCCATCGACGTTGAAGACCGGAATCGGTTGCGCCAGAGTGCGGACTGGAATGCCATTCCTAGTGACATAGTTTGTGTCGATGAAATCAGAGGTGGCACCACAGTCAACCAGACCGGAAAGCGAGAGCTTGAGTGCGCTGGTAGTGGACTCTAGCTCCAACGGGAGGTGGAGGGAGTTCACTCCAGGGGCAGCAGCAACAGTGTACTGCTTGGGTAATTTCTTTTCCCAGGCAGTGAGGCGACGGAGGTGGGTGACAGGCCTTATCGGAAATTGATGGGCTTTATCGGAAATTGATGCAGCCTTATCGGAAATTGATGGGGCCTTATCGGAAATTGATGGGGAGGGTATGTCTTTCGTTTCTGGCTCGTTGTAGGGCAAATGAGTGCATTCATCATACAAGGGGGCGAAACGATTTATGGACGCGAACGAGGGCACACCGGTCACTCGTCGCGGGGGACAAAATCCTCCCCAGCCATCAACTCCGCTGTTGATTCCGGCAGGGCAGCTGTGTCGGAGTAGCGGGCGATCAACTCCGCTAACATCTCGTCACCGAGTTGTTGGATCACCTCATCGAGGATGTCCATTGAGCGGACGTCCGCGGGGAGGGGGCAATCCCGGGCGAGATGGTTTGGGTCGCCGCACCTGAAGCAGGCGCGACGAGGGGCACCCCGAGCCCTAGTGCGATCCAACTCCATGGGGACGGGAGCTGGAGGCACCGGAGCGGGGGCGCGGGCCGCGGGTGGCACGACCGGAGCCACCGGGCGGAAAGGGGCCGGAGCCGGGATGCGGTTGACCGGAAACGGAGTCCGAATCAAACCGCCAGGCGTCTTGGGGGCGGCTGACTTGATCAGCTTGGCCCGGACCAGGGCCTCGTATTGACGGAAGGCCCGGGTGCGCCAGCTAAGGTAGTCCCGGAGGTCCGGGGGGTCGTTCGAGGACGTGATTCCGTTGTTGATCAGGGGGTCAAGTCCGTGGCGGAACTTGGTCACCTTGACCAACGCGTCTTCGAATCCGGCGAGGTCCATCAGGTCCTCGAAGTCGTCGGTGTACTGGTAGACATCCTTTGTGCCCATGTGATAGGCGGAAGTCTCCAGTTTGGAGAGAGCATGATCTTGCTCGTTCTCCTCGACGAACCGGAGTCGAAACTCGGAAACGAACGAGCCCCAGGACGGAAACGGAAACGGGGCTTTGCTTCCGTGGCGCTCCGCCCATTGCTGAGCGGGTCCTTCTGCCATAAACGACATGGCATAGCGGACGGCCTTTTCCTCACTCGCCTCTCCGTTGACCACAAAGGCCTCAGGGGCAAGGCGGGCGAGGTGCGGACCGCATAGAGGAACGCGGCCGCGTTTCCGATCGCCGTTGAAGGTGAACGGAGGGTTTGGTCGTAAGACCAATTTTGAGGCGAGGTTGATGTCGCCAAAGAGGGCCTCGGAATCGCCCTGAACCGGAGTCGGAGTCGGAATCGACGTCTCCGGGGGTGGTGTTGTTTGGGGTCCGCCAGCAGTGTTAGCGGCGGCAGCGGCAGCGGAAGCCTGGGTGGTGAGAAGAGTAAGGGCCTCAGTTAGGCGGTCGATTTTCGCCTCGAGTGCATCCAGCCGAGTGTCAGCGTCAGGAGTAGCTCCGGAAGGCATGACAGGTCGGGGGACGACAGGAGTGACAGAGGAGGAGGGGACAAGTGGTAGGGGCGGTGACGAGGGCGGAACGGACTCGTATTCCGAGCCTGAGTCAGCGCCGAACCTAGCAATCTTGTCCGGTTGATCCCGTAGAGAGTTTCTTCTGCTGTAAGGGCAACCCTGGAGGCCTGAGATCAAGGTCCTAGCAGGGGAGGATCCAAAGAGTGAATAACAGTAAGCAAATACAAAGGAAGCTGACCTAGCAGGGGAGGATCCAAAGAGAAGAAACTCTAAGGGTCCGCCTGCTAGGTAGCTGAACTATATACTGCGCTCTTGACGCGCCAAGGTTGATCGTTGCTCCGTGCAGTATGCCTGCGCCATGTCGCAGGCCAGGTCCCAGGGGGATCGCCAGGCGGGGGCGGTGATGCGATTGATGGCGGTGATGCGATCACCGGAGTCGGAATCGGGTCGATTACGGGCCGAAAGGGAGGTTCCCCTGACAGTGGCCCCGAGTTCAAACCTGGCGCATTCACATTCAAGCCACCAGCAGGAGTGCCACTATTGACTTCCCCGAGCCCCAACCTCTCATCCAAGAGCAGCCAACAGCGGAATCAACACCGTTCAAAACACAAGGCCGAGAAAAGCGACAACGTCTCAGTATCGCTTCTGATTCGGAAGAAGACAATGCCCCTGTTGATCACCAGCAGAGCCACAGCAGCCACCTGCCAATGGTCACGTGCCCTCACACCCAGACCTTCCAACGAGCATGTCCTCGCTATCAAGACAGCCGTTAATAACCTTGCTGGCGGACAGAAGTCCCTTGGCTCGAATGCTCGCGAGGTTCTCGCCTTGCGAAATGAAGTCCTTGAACAGGTCGCTGCGTTACCCGAAACATTTGCCGCTGCTCCCAACATCTTACACGGAGCCCATGCGGAATTTGCGTTGACGAGAGATGCGAACAAGCGCGACTCGGAGATGGACGAGCTGAGGCGGAACAACACCGAGTTCCAGGTACAGATGGCCAAAGCGAGGGGGTGCCCATGGACAAGTGCGTGTGGAGAAGGAGGTGCTCGTGGAGAAGCTGTCGATTGTGGAAGGGGGACGAGACCGGATGCGGGCGAAACTCAATGGGGCTCAAGTGGAGGCCGCGAGAAGGCTGCAACGTTGAGTGTGGTCGGCACGAAACGTGGAATTGGAAGATGCGCTGGCAAAAGCATTGGCAAGGCTGCAAGCCCTGCGACGCGACACATCAAGCCAACCAAGAGAGAATCCAAGAACTGGAGAAAGGGGCGAGGGAGGTTTCAAGCGAGAGAGCGACTTTGAAAGCCAAGGTGGGTTTTTCCTTCGCATTGTTTCGCTAGGTTGACTTTATTCATACAGGTTGATGCGTTGGAGCTTCAAATTTGCGGCACGGGACAAGGAAACTGCATTACAATCGGTTGTGTCGCTGCAAAAACAACACGACCAGCTTGCGTCTCAGCAGGCATTGGGATGATCTCCACATACGTCTGCCCAGATCAGAATGCTCACAAGTCTCATTTTGTTGGGCAAGCGGACAACGAGGAGTTGAAGGAGGTTCGGGTGATTCGGGATCGCAGCAAGGTGCTTGAGGGCGAACATGCTACCCTGCTCAAGCGGTTCAGGGACCAAGGGACCAAGATCGCAAGCAGTAATAAAGCTGTTTCGGCTACTAAACAGAGTCTGGCGCAAGCTCAACAACGCGATGGAGAGTGAGTGGGAAGGAGAAACGCTGCTGGTCATTCACGACACGGGTATTGGCCAGACCAAGGCTGATGTGGTGAACAATCTCGGTACCATCGCCAACTCTGGCACAAGAGGCTTCATCAAGGCCCTCTCTTCTAGCGCCGACATCTCCATGATTGGTCAATTCGGTGTCGGTTTCTACTCTGCCTACCTCGTCTGTTCAGGTTGTTTCCAAACACAACGATGACGAGCCATACATTTGGGAGTCTGCCGCTGGTGGGACCTTCACTATTACCCTCGACACCGTCAACCCCCCAATCGGACGTGGTTCTGAAATCCGTTTGTACCCGAAGGAGGACCAACTCCAGTACCTCGAGGAGAAGAAGATCAAGGAGATTGTCGCGAAAAAGTCCGAGTTCATTTTTTACTCAATCAAACTCGCTGTCACGAAGGAGGTCGAGAAGGTTAGTAGTCTTTTCCCCTCTCCTACATCTGTTCTAACGTGATCTATAGGAAGTTGAGGATGACGAGGAGGAGGAGGCTGATGCCGATCGAGGCGGTCGAGGATGAAGATGATGCCGAAAGACAATAAGAAGAAGAAGGTTAAGGAGCAAAAGATCACTACCGAGGAGCTCAACAAAACCAAGCCCATCTGGACTCGCAACCCGTCAGAAATCACGACTGAAGAGTACGGGTCGTTCTACAAGAGCTTAACCAACGATTGGGAGGATCATCTTGCTGTCAAGCACTTCTCGTTGAAGGTCAACTCAATTCAAGGCCATCCTCTTCATTCCCAAGCGGTAAGTCGTTATTCAATCTGTTGCTTCCCTGTTGACCATGTTCAGGGCACCCTTCGATCTCTTCGAGTCCAAGAAGAAGCGCAACAACATCAAGCTCTACGTCCGCCGTGTCTTCATCATGGACGACTGGAGGAGCTTATTCCCGAATACCTCAACTTCGTCAAGGGTATCTGCGACTCAGAGGATCTGCCCCTCAACATCTCCCGTGAGACGTTGCAGCAGAACAAGATCCTCAAGGTCATTCGCAAGAACATTGTGAAGAAGTGCATGGAGGTTCTGGCTGAAATTGCGGAGGACAAGGACAACTTCACCAAATTCTACGAGGCTTTCGGCAAGAACCTCAAGCTTGGTATCCACGAAGATGCCCAAAACCGAAGCAAACTCGCCGAGTTCCTGCGTTTCTTCTCGACCAAGTCGTCTGAGGAGCAGACCTCGCTCAAAGGTATATTTTCCTTTCTTGCTTATGAACTCATCTAATAATCTTTGCAGACTATATTACCCGCATGCCCGAAATCCAAAAATCCATCTACTACCTCACCGGCGAATCTTTGGCGGCCACCCGCGACTCACCATTCCTTGAGGTCCTCAAGAAGAAGGGCTTCGAAGTTCTGCTGCTCGTTGACCCCATTGACGAGTACGCCATCACACAACTGAAGGAGTTCGATGGCAAGAAGCTCATCTGTGTGTCGAAAGAGGGTCTGGAGCTTGAGGAGACGGAAGAGGAGAAGGCGGCACGTGAGGCTGAGGTTGCTGCCTTCAGCGACCTTTGCACCACTGTCAAGGATGCTCTTGGCGACAAGGTCGAGAAGGTCGTCATCTCCAACCGCATCACCGACTCTCCTTGCGTTCTTGTCACTGGCCAATTCGGTTGGTCATCCAACATGGAGCGTATCATGAAGGCGCAGGCACTTCGTGACTCATCCATGTCGTCGTATATGGCCTCGAAAAAGACCTCGAACTGAACCCGAGCAACCCCATCGTCAAGGAGCTCAAGCGTAAGGTTGCGGAGGACAAGGGCGACAAGTCTGTTCGCGACTTGACCTATCTGCTCTTCGAGACAGCGCTGCTCACTTCTGGCTTTGCTCTCGATGAACCGACATCTTTCGCTAAGCGTATCCACCGAATGATTGCGTTAGTTTTCCTATTTTTTTTTTCGTTTTTACTGGTCTAACATGCTACAAACAGACTTGGTCTCGATGTTGATGAGGAAGAGGAGGAAGAGACAACAGAAACCTCGACCGCCCAACCAACGGCTGCCGCCACGGAAACCACGTCTGCTGTGGAGGAGATCGACTAAACAGGGTCTTTGGGGGTGCTTTGCTTAGCTTACGTCTACTACTACTACATCTGCTGCATTTGTTTTTGATTCCTCTGCACACAAACTGAAATGTATCAACGAACCGCGCACTGGCGCGCCGAAATGCGTCTCGGAAGATAAAACAAACAAATTAGTGTCGACACCTCTTACAGTAGGCACGAGCGTAGGGGAGATACAAGGATGAAATATGAGTTATCGCCGGTTACACTACGACAGATGAAATACTGGTACACTGGCAGTCAACAAGATTCGGAGGAGGGAGAAATAAACAGATGAGAGAGACGAGGGAGAGAACAAACAACTCTAATTACAGAGGGTGCTCTGTGTTTGCGAAGGTTAATCCTCCGAAATACAGTTCGTGCAGGTTTCAGATATCCCGTCGGCTACGCCAACCGGAAGGCCCAAAGAGCGAATGGCCAGGCGAGCGCGAGCGATGTCATCTTTGGCAGTTACAAGGTCGCTCTTGACTTCCTTCAATTCTCTCTGCAAAATGTCGAGGTATTGCAGGACTTCGTGAATTCGTATTTCAACCATTTTCTCCTCCGATATGCACCGTTGTTTCTTGGCTTGGAGGAGATGAAGAATACGGTCGGCCCCTTCTTCGGTGTGGGGGAAAGATAACGTTGTATTTCGCAAGTTTAATTTCTGCATGTCTTGGGTTTTGAGATAGAAGTAGATTCAAACACTTACAATAACGCTTCTTCCTTCCGATAACACAGAGTGAAGAAGAGGAGTTGACGCGTCTGCAGGGTTGCCTGGCACTGGTGAGGCGGATGGATGGGACACTGAGTCCATAGATAATTAGTTCGACTGTGTCGACCGGACTGCTATGATTCCCCTTCAGCTGCTGGCGATACCGTGGCCGACAGGCTCACCGTAATGAGTTGGAGGAGACTTCGCAACTTGAAGGATCTCAGGCTAAGGTGAAAACGTGACAGTTCCTGTGACAATTCGGTCACGCAATCATATATATCAACCATCAATGTGTGACTCGCACTGGCTCTCTCTTTGACTCATTCCACCACCCACTGTGATCTCACATGTCTTCAAACGCAATCGGCAACGACCAACTTGCCTCCCTCATGGAGGAGAATCGACCTTTCTCTCCAATTTCAGGCCCCGCGCCCGATCTTGCTGGTCGGTTTTTCTCCCTACAACTAATCTGTCTCAATCTATGCCTAGAATATGCATCTACTATGCCCCAGTCCCAGAATACTCTCAACAATCCAAATACACTGCAGATGGTAACTTTATACACCGTTTCTCCTTGCGACTGACTGATGTTGTCTATTTGTCTAGGTCATCCAATGTCACGCGAACTTCACGAAACTTCTTCTCACTCAATTCTCCAACAACGGTAACAAGTCAAACACTAATGAGAAGGCAGCGACACTTCCAGCTGGGGCGTTGTCCTACTTTCCCCCCGCCACCACGCCCACCGCTTGTCTTCCAATATGATCCTAACGTCCTCAATTCATTGTACGATCCCCGAAAAATGCTTCCCTCCCAGTCAACGGTGAACGGCATTGAACACGACATCATGGTAATCAATGCTTGTATTGCGCATAAATCACACTGAATCTTGACTCATAGTCAACCGTGGGGGACGCCGAACAGCCCACCACCAAGTGTTTCTCTTTCGGGACTGTCGCTTCCATCTAGTGCAAATAGTGTAAGGGGTTTTGCGCAACGTCAATACCTATTCTTACCCCCCTTACAGCTATACTCCGAGCCATTCGTCGACGAGGATCAGTTGGACGACGAAGCTCACGAATGGTCGGAGCATCTTGCCAAGAGTGATCTCGTGAAGGCGCAATTCTATGATCAGTTCCGGCGAGAACATCCTCAATGGGTCCCCTGCGTGCAGATAGCTCGCTTCACCACCGAGTTCGATGTTTGGACTTCTTCTGGCTTCAGTCATCCCCGAAGAAGCTTCAATCGTTTTTCCGATGCTCTGGAAGAAGCAAGAAATAATATCAACGCAACGTCGTCCATCCATTTATCTGAAGGTTTTTAACATCCATCCACACCACAACCAACCTCACTATCGACAGATTTCCTGGAGCTTTACGATGCCAAACTGACCTCTTACGTGAGCATCTCTCGTATCGCTCAACGATATCATTTGACGACGCTTTTCAGATTTCTGACCAAGCGTCGAGAGAGCGTGGTCACCAGTGCAAGGCCATCAAGGCTATCATCCTGCGAAACATGAACGTACCTACCGTCGGGACAGCGAATCCTACCACCAAGGCACCGTGGACACAAGCTGAATGCGAGCAATACATCGATGATCAGGTCGAACAGTGGAGCGAACGGTTCGCCTTTCTTGAGGATTATCGGACTGTGCGCTCTTTCTCGCTTTGTTATCTGACCTCTGATCTCATCGCAGCGATTGACTGCGGACGAGTCCTTTTTGGCCCACCCTGCGACGACTGAGATTATCATGTGGTTTCTCAATCATGAAAGCTATGGCGCATTTCTTCAGCCCACTCTATTCGAATATCAGATTCCGTTTGCTGTCTATGCATATGTGGGAACCCTCGTATGTCTGGTGTCTTTTTTCCTCGCTTCCGTCCTCACATTTCATAGATGGATTATGTGATTTGTCATTGGCGCCAGAAGAGCCGATGGACTGTTTCCAACGCTCGTCCAGTGTATCATCGCATCCTCGGCGACGTCAAGAAGATGATGAAGGATACCGTTCAAGGTCCACAACTTTTGAGCCGTTCGCTGGGATTAGTCAAGAACATCAAGTAATTCCTTGAATTCGCTTGTGAATTGTTCACTCATGACTGGCAGGTATCCCAACTAAATGGCTGCTCGTCTTCCGCTACGTATTGACCCACTTGTAACAACAATTTCGCCAGACCGCCAAACCGCCAAACATCTACGCAAAGTATCCCTACTTCGTTCTATTTACCCCATGGACTACTCATACCGCTTCGTTCACCGCTTTGTTGACTGCTGCTTGCTTTGTGCTCACTGCTTTGATTGCTTCGTCCTAGAATTACTACTACTACTACTACTCCCTACCGCTGCTCGTAGAACAATGCCAACTTATGGTTGACCCCTCTGAAGTTGCTTGAGCCAACGATCATGATGTGATCATTTGTCACCCTGTGACATCAGGCACTGTATTGCCTCCTTTCCTTCCTATCAACTCATCACCTTCGTTGAAGTTGTTAGGGTTTAACGACGAGCATAAGAGCTGCGCTGGTCGTAAGAGTAGGACCCTGATTCGTTCCTTTCCAACACTGACATGACCGACAGCGTACCGACGACTCCTGCTCTCCCTGTTTTATCCCAGGAGCAACAAGTGCAATTAGACGACATTCTTCGACATCTCGGACAGCTTCCCCTCACAGAGAGCTCAGATCCACCATCTCTACTCGGAAGACGGAAGGGACCTAAACGCGTATGAATTACCCGTTCATCAGCTCAGAGCTGAACCGTTTTCAGATACCATAGGTCAGCCTTCCAGCAACTCGTGGACGCTGCCAAATTTATACCTCGAGGGGCTGACGCCTTCTGGGACATGCGACGGATCTTGGAATATGGTTGCGTCAACTCGCTTGACTCTACGACGGCGCAAGAGAGTTTCCTGACGCTACCTTCAAGGCATTCTTGTTCCTTACTTCGCCGACCTTCGCTAATCGTACTCTCAAGCGAACGTGCCCTTCATCATGCCGCCGTCTTCAATACGATGATCTCAAGTTGTCGAACCAAGTTGTTGCCAGTAATCCAGTTCATGTATCTCGAATCAAAAACAAAACCCGGTCCGTGGAAGTCGCTCGGCGAAAAAGTGCGTTCCTTCACTTATCTGTGAGCGGACATTCATATCCGACATTGTCAGTTGGCCAAAGCTGCACGAGACGCTCGGACACAAGATACAAGTACATTCAAGAATGGACTTCGGATCCTTCTTCCTGTGCCGGGCCAAGACCAGTTCTTTCCATCTATCGAACCCGGAATGAACAAAGCTCAGCGCGGACTGGCACACCCCCAACTACGGATGTTGCTCATGCCTTGGAACGATCGCGTGGTGTTCCCCCCCCATCTCGTATGGAAAGCCCCTCGAGTAAGATATGTTCGTTCACTCGAGACAATATTTCTTACAACCATAGACTCGATGCTCCAGTACTTTCGGAGAAGGCCACAGTGTAAGCTGCTCCTTCTCTATCTATTCAAACCGAATTTTTATCAACCTCCAGAATCTTAAGCCAGATCGCCTCCAAAACCTACCAACCCTCCTCAAGACGTTTTCCTTCTTTTTGCTATCCGGATGACGGGTGGGATTCGACCGCATACCAGCGCAACCTTTTTAGAAACGTGGCCATTGTTCGAGTGGGTGCTCAATGTTGTTGGACCTTGATCTTCCTCCATCTGACGATGACAGGGTATCCGGATGTTATTCATCACCAGAGCAGATGCGACCCACGAACCAGACGATGAGCTGACTCCTGGTTGCCTCGCAGCAATCCACAACGTCCATCAAGTCACTGCACATATTGTCGCTTATGTTGTCGTACAAGTACATTTTTCTTCTCTTTTTCAACTGTTATGGTTCCTGACTTCATGCAGATCCGTGTCGCGATCAGCAACGTCCCCGCATTGGACAAACTCAGAGGGCCGCAAGTATAAATTCCTGGATCTATACAACAAGGTGCTTGCTGCTTTCGACGACGATACCAACCCAGATCTGCCAGATTGGGGTGTGAACACCCTCGAATGGTTGACGCAGTATGTCCCTTTTTTCTCGTTAACCATTCTCATTCTCTTCAGGCGTACCTTCGGGAGTGTTGTCGAGGCGGAATCACATTCGGGGGACGGGGAAGAGGATTCGGAGGATGAGGCATTTCTGGAACGTCGAAACCGCGCTGCCCAGCGAATCGCAACCAGTGCTCCTTCCTGAAATGTCTTTCTTGGGCCGTTTTATCGTCATCGTCACTGGTATCTGTATGGTTGGTTTGTAGATG